CCAGTTGCCTTGAGAAAGGGTCAGCGTCTAGTTCCATTCAGTGATGCTCCCCAGGACTCTTTGGAGTAAAGTTGCCCACTGTTCTTGCATCTGAAGGTGCCCTCTGGTTTTGATGCGTTAACCGTGCTCTAACAGGGCAGTCCTGTGGACTCCAGCCTCAGCGTGGGCTGTATCCAGTTACACTGGCTTGCTGCTGAGTGGCTGCGGACTTCACTGAGTGCCGTTCAGAGTGCCACAGAGCTGAGGCGCTTCACCAGGATCTTTTCCACCGCAGCCACCATGTACGGTGTTGCTCCCTCTGGTTGTGCTGTAGCCTCTCTCTTCCTGCTCTTGGAGCCAGAAAAACCCAGACTCCTGCACGCGCAGAGCCGAGGGATGTCTCTTCAATGCCTCTGAACCTTTAAATCACACTGATAGTAGCAGGTTAAGTCTAACACTTCGCAGTAACAGGTGCAGTACTCTGTGAGTAAGGCCACCTCCTTAATGTTGTCTGGCTTGCTAACTTTTGCAAAAATTAGAAACATTTGCTTCTTTAATTTAAGAACTGTTGACATGGGACTGTTTCCTTTGCAGGCTATTTTACATTATTTTCTGAAGTTATCTTGTAAACTGTTTATTCCAAATACCGTTTTGATGTTGCTCATCTACGTTAGGGCTGAGATAGAGAAGGCAGAGAGCAAACACTTCATGGTTGGTGTGGGATGTTTGTTTGCTTTCTTGCAGGGTTTGTTGATGATATCATCCAACCTTCCACCACCCGCCAGCGCATCTGCCACGACCTAGATGTGCTGGCTAGTAAAACACAGTCCAGTCCCTGGAAGAAACATGCGAATATCCCCCTGTGAGCACGAGGAGGGGCTTGGCCAGGCTGGAAGACGTGGCCGTGTTCTGAACACAAGTACTCTCGGTTTAAGTGGAGGGCTCCTTGCAACAGAAATACTTAATTGCATTTTGATTTTGCTAATGACTGTCAATAAATCATAGTACCGATCTCATTTAATTGGGGCTCTCACCAGTTCATCTCTAGAAACCCTTTTTGGTGGGTTAATAATCACACAACGTGCAGTGCCTGCTGCAGGCGAGCCGTTACTGACTGCTCAGGGTCGAACGCAGCCTTGGCTCCTTCAGTCCGTAGGCCTGGAGGTGGCTCAGACAGGCAGAGCTGCAGTGACCTCACACTGATGAGAGGTCGGGCTCCCGTGGAGCTGAAGTCCAGCCTTGGGCCCACCTCTGGAGTCTGACTCCACTTCCTGCAACACAGGCTGTTACAGGGAGAAAGACCCAGAGCTTGGATGTCTGTGCACTGGGATGCAGGCTTTGCCGCTCTCGGATTAAGCCGTTCTGTTCCTCTGCTAGACCGTTTGCTGTTGCAGTTTTTACAGGCTGGCTGGTGCAGCACTGGCTCTCGGGTTGGTATCTGTGACCTCTGGGCTGGGGCAGTGTGGTGGAGAGGCAATGGAGCTGGTCCCCTCTGGAAGGGCAGACTGGAAAAAGAGCATGTCCAGTGGGCCATCTTCTCCCTGAGTGTGGGGAACGCCCCTCCCTCAGCTGAGGGCTAAAATAGAGGCCTCCAGGGGCCCCTTCCAGCCTAATTTTCTCTGTGATTATTTGCCAGGAAGCATGGTGGTAGATCAGCCCTGGGCTTGCTCCGCTCCTTAGAAGCTGCGGTTTAACTACAGCCCCAGGCAGCGAGTAACAGCTCCCGTCACGTTTAGCGGTGCTGCACGCAGCTGCCAAGCACGTGAAGTCCCGTAACGTCTGCTGTAAGTAACCTCAGTCAGTAACGGCACGCAGGGAGTTACAAGACAGAACTGCCTTACCTGCACGCTGCAGCTGCTTCTGCTCACTCCCCAGCATCTGCCCCAGCTGGCGACGTTCCAGGTAGCATCCCTTCCCAGGTAGGTAGTGAGTGCAGACACGGAGCTGGGAGCCTGTACCTGGAGGGGGGGGAAAGGCAACAACTAAAAATTACCTGAAAACACAGTACAGGAGTGTTTCGAGTCCCAGCTCACAGGTTTCTGTAACAGCCAGAGGGACTGCGTTTGGGTTCCAGACAACTGTCTGTCCTGGCTGCGAACATGTTTAAGCTAGCTGCCTGAATGTTGCGGGTTGTGTCTCAGCAGAGACACCGAGCAGGTGCCCCAGGGAACAGAGCCTGCAAGGACGTGGGCAGGCAAGCTGAAATGTTACAGTGGGGTCGCTGCCATGAAGCGAGTGCTTCGTTAACTCTGAGAAAAGGTGTAGGCAGAGGAGAGGAGCTATTTCAAAGGTGGCGAGTAGCTGAGTGGCTGTCCCGAGTTGAGAGGCAAAGGCTGTCTTAGGTGAAGCGATAGGCAGAGTTTCTTCAGCCTGCCCAGAGTCAGGAGGAGAGAGCACCTGATAAACACAGTTGTCACTGTCACAAAGAAACCAAAGGACCACCTTGCCCGTTTGCTAACCTGGTTAGTCCTGTAGACTTCCTCCTCGCTTCAGTCCCCGGCCAGCACACGTCGTTGGCTTTTCTGTCCTCCCGCTTTCCCAGCAGTCAGTTGCTCCGCCAGCACAGCGCCTCAGGAACACAGCAGAAAGCTGCTCTGGCCATGCTACTCGAGGGTCCCGTGAATCCCAGTCACCTGCAGAAGCAACAGCCAGCCGTCAGGTCACTTCTGCAGGGAGCAGCCCTTGAGCGTGACAAGCTACTTACTGCGTGACACCGTGCGTTGGGCGTTGAGCACAACTTAGGAGCAGTTGGAGATGCAGCGCGGGTGTGTCTCGGGAGCAGGCCTGGAGCGTAGTTCAGCCCTTGGGTCCTATCCCTGTTCCTCACCTGCTGCATCCTGGTGGCTTTTCTGACTCTGGTGATTTCTTTAGGAAGTGGCCAGATGACAAGTCCGTTTCCTTTAGCGCTGCAGAGATGAGATAATTCACGGGTTGGAGAACGCCAGTGCCTCTCTCATGGATGTTGTGTTGCAGGAACCTGTAGAACCTCGTTTAGCTTTTGGACCTTGCAAGCCTCTGCCGCTTCCGCTTCTTCCCACGTGGCACAGTTCGCTTCAGGCGCGCGGGGCCGGTGAGTGCAATCTGATCTCAAAATTTGCGACAGTTCAAACTTCTGAGTTTTAAGACTGCGACTCTCCCACCTCGCGTGGTGACTTACCAGATGTACAGCAACCTCGCAGTGAAACCCCCCAGATCAGCTGAAAACACACGGCAGCGGAGGGACAAGGAAAACAGACGGGTCAGCGTTCTCGTTTGCTGGGCGGAATCTGGCTGTGCAGCCCGGACTGCGTGAGAACCACCTTCCAGTGTTTCCGGGGGCTGCTAATAAATGGGATGACAGGATGTGATGGTCCAAACGAGCATTTAAAAGGAAGTTACAGTGAAGAGGGTGCTCATCGTCTCATGATTTTGAATAGTTTATTAAATGAAAGGTGAAGCATCAGTTTTAAATTGTACAAAAGGAAAAAAAACCTCATATTGTAAATGTACAATTTACAGAATTACTAGCAAAACCAATCAAGGAGACACTCATAATACAAAAACCTATTGACTGCAAACTGAACTGGAAACCCATTGCAGGTACCGTGAGAATAAATGTCTGTCATACAGTATTCTACAATGCTGAATTAGGAATCAGTTTTCCACACAGAGGACTGTGAAGCACAAGGTTCGTCTGAGACGTGACTCAAACCAGGCAGCACTGATGATGCTACTCTGCTCACAGAATTACCGTGGCGACAGCTTAATGCAGCCGTTCCTGCCCACCCCGGACTCTGGGGGTTTGGCGGAAGAGGGAGGGAGGTAACATGGTTTGCAAAGTTCCAGCTCATTCTCAGGCTTTCTGCGTTACCCAGCCGCCAGCTGAGGAACGGCTGGATTAACCTAGTCCGGCGTTTTTGGCCACCATGGCTGAGGACTGCAGGTGTTGTAAGAAACAAACCTCAGCCCTTTCTTTCTACCATCAGGTTCTTCCCCTCAAGCGCCGGGCGGTAACGCCGGTTCGTTTCTCCGTAAGCTCCTCGCAGGAGAAAAGCTGGGTGATGATTTTGCGGTTGCTAGAAAAAGCACCTCTAAAACTGCTGTGCTCCAAGGGGGTCAATCTGCTTTGGATCTCAGGTGCTAACGTGAGAGCAGAAAGGGAGATGAACGTTCTGGGGCTGATTCAGTGCAAGTTGTGGATTCAGCACCTCGGACATCAGGCCGGTTTCAGCTAAGTAGCGGCTACGAGGCAGAGTCATGAAATCGCAGCATAATGAGATTCCAAATTATTGAAGACATTGAAAAATCTCGTTACAATGAATTAGTTGAAAATGTTTTGGGTTTTTTGGGTTGGGGTTTTTTTTCTTTTTTTTGGATGTTTTTAACTTTTTTGAAAAATCATACTTTTTTCCCCAAAGAATTACTCTTAATATGCACAGTTAACACTGAAAATGTAGCTGTATTCCATTGTAAGCTTAACTTCACCATCTAAGCACAAATTTCTATGCAGCACATACAGTACTTCTAACTGGCAAAATTAATTTACAAAAATAGCGCAAAAGGGTATTTACGGCGTGGAAAGTAGACTTTTTTATGGTACAGTTAAAATTGCTTTTAGTATGCTAAAGTGATTCCTTCCCCCACCCTTGAATGACGGGGGTTTTTTTAATAGGAAAGTTGCTGTTTATGTACCTCGGGTTGGCAGGGCTTGAAGTAGGTAGTAAAAACAGCAAAGTGATTACTTGAGAACCGTTTGTGTGTTTTACTGAGAATACTTTATTTGCTGGTATAAGTTGCTAAAAATGCACAGAGCAAGTACCAATAGAAAATTTACTGTTTTTGTGTCCCCATGTGCTATATAAAATGCATGTTACACAGCATCTGTTGGAAAAGTGGCTTCACGGACATCTCTTACTTTATGTCCCCTTATAAATAAAAATAAATCTTCTCAAGAGTATAAAATCTGGGTTTATCATATCAGAATCTGAAATTTTTTGGCAGAGATGCACGTCACTAGGATTCTAACCTCCTCTACACGAGTGTTCTTCTCAATGCCTACGAGAGGATATAAGCGTACCATAAGGTTAATCAGATCCAGTGTGTCCAAAAACACGTTTCTGTAGCCAGAACGACCTGCTCGTAGCGTCGTTGCTAGTCAATGGCTGATAGGCATAGGTTTAATAAAAATGGCTAGCTTTTAAAACATAAAAAGGCAAATGTTAAAACTGTTTTAAATTGTACAGCAGAAAAATAAAGTTAAAAAGTTCTGTTTTCACCCAATGTTGTTTTCAGAAAACATATGTAGAACAGTGTTTATTTCGACAGCTGTCTTAACAATTTAAAACCTCCTCCTCATCCAGGAAAAAAAAAAAAAAAATCTGTATTAGGACAGTCAAGAACAGGGAGACAAATGATTTTTCAGGTCAGCCCTTCTGAGGTGACTGGATTAGCCAACATTCCTGTGTCATTAAGAGTTCCTCTTCCTTCTGTCACTACAGAAAGGGATTGACCTCAATCATTTGGGTAAAAATCAAACCGTATCACATCAAAAATGTGGTTTTCATACAAGCTATCACAGTATATAGGCCTCTAGCTCTAAACAATAGAGTTCCAAATTTGTAAAATGTCTTCACCAGACTTCAGAACATAGGCATTCCGAATCCCTAGGGACATGATCGAAAAGACAGAAGTCAGTTAGGTGCAACGGTAATCACAACGAACCCCAGAAAAAGAGCGAGCAGTACGAGCGAAGCCTTACTGAATCGTCCTCAATGATAGCTGCGGAGTCGAAGAAGTCCGGCCTCAGTTCAGCCCGTTCCCGCCGGTTTCTTGAAGGTGGCTAAAAAGAGGAATTGGCCGTTACAGAAGATTGTGTCTGTTACCTGGGGGTCAGCGAGTCGTGTGACCCTGCGGCCAGGGGGTACCGATGCGCTTCCCTGCTCCTTTACGGAGAAGTCTGGCAGGGGTTTTCATAAAAGCTCCGAAACCAATGTGGGTCCCGAGAGAGAAGGGTACTGCTTCAATTCCCCTTTTGTCTAAGGAATGGAGTAAAAGCTGAGGGAGTCTAAAGGGATTCTAAGCCTGTGCTCGTAGCTAAGGCCTTGCTTGAGGCTCTGGCAGAAGGGTTCAGCCGTGACAACAGCACAGGGAAGGCAACACCACCCTGAGTATCTTTAGAGGATGCTGCTTCCAGACATGATGTCAACTAACACCCGGAATCAAGCATTGTTACGGGACTAGAGAGTCCGTTTGTGCATCCTGGGGCTGAGCAGGCGGCTCCCTGTAACGCTCAGTCAGGTGGGGCGAGTGGGTCTGGGCTCTGTCCCCTCCCCAGCACTGCCCCTGCCCTCGGCTGGCTGATACATTCGCTGAGCTAAACTGATTCTCCCGGGCTGACAAGGCCTGGCTGCATGATGGTGCTGCCCGAGACCTGAGTATGGGAGAGGAAAAGTGCGGAGCAACGCCCCCTGTTTCTGTGAAAGAATCGGCCCTCGGTCTGCAGTTGCAGGTTCTAGGGAGTACTTGGAGCACTTCCGCTCCTTAATCTCCAGACAACAGGAAACCAGGCTCGGAATTTTGGGATTTTTTCTTTCTGCTTCTACAATTCCTTTTAAATTCTCTTCCATCCATTCTGTACTTGCCACTGTAATAAGGTTTACTGACCAGATCAATGACCATTGTGTCCTCAAATTCTTCGTTCATATCCTCTAGCTGACCTCGCGAGGACATCATCACATCTTCAAAGATGGGCTCAGCATCATCCTCCATTAGACCTCGTCTGATTAAACAGAGACAAAGAAAAGTCATTTCCAGGCCTTTAAATTTCCCAGCCATGATCTCCATCATCAAAAAGCACCTACAAATCCTACCCCTGGAGGCCTTCACACAAAGCCCTACCTGAGAGTCAAGGCAGCACGTTTTCTGTACCGTTAAGGGGACCAAAGCTCACAGAAGACCAAAGCTGGCGCTTGCAGCCGCTGGGGCAGGAAGTCCCGTGTAATATCATTACAAACAGGAATTAAGTTTGTCCCTAGCAAGAGAAGGGCAATAACCTCGATGCGTTTGCTTGCCCTTTTCCAAAAAGGAGTTACGCTGTTTGCCAGGATCACTAGTAAATCCCTGGGAATCCAAGCCCAGCTTCTAGGACCGTAAGGACTTGATCTCATTGGAGACTCTGGCCCCCACCCTGAAGGATGTGCTGAAAGACTCGGTCGGATCGACACCAGAGCCGCCTCAGCAGTCACCCACGGCTGTTCCCTCCCGTCAGCTGCTCAGCGCGATGCCGTGGCAAAAGGTGATGCAGCTGCAGGAAGCGTGAGCGGGTTCGCAGCAAGACCGGACAACAGCTTGGAAGAGCTGATGGGGAATTATTTAACAGACAAATCATGGAAACACCCTGAAATGGGAACAGTTGAGGGTGCAGAGAGCGGAACCGGGGAATTGTGCCACGTCTGCCTGCCCTGTCCACTGGGCACCTGCTTACGGCCCGGACAGAGGCCGGACGCTGGGCGGGAGGCCCGTGCCCCGGTGTCCGTTCCAACATTACAGAGCTGTTCCTCTGCCTTCATTCATGAGTCCAAGTGTCACAGAAAGCACCTGCAACGCCCAGGGGAGGTAACACGTAAAAGGTGGCGCTGTCAACCACAGCGGTTCCCATCAGGAGGAGGGTGCTGCGAACACTTACACTGCATGCCTTACACCAGTTCTCCCTTTCATGTAGTTCATTCCTGTCCTGTCCTTTCGATTTAAGTCTTCCAGCTTCTGTTGGCCCAGCCACGATATCTGCATCTGGGGACTAACAAACATAAAGCAGCATTAAGACTGAGAACACCGACAATGCTGGTTGGTTTGGGACAGGATCGATCTCCTCGAGTCCCGTGTCTGGCTGTGCTTCAGATGAAGACATTTCAACCACATCCATCGCTGTACACGGATTCTGGATTCCCTTCCACAACCTGTCTCCTCTCACTGTGCGTGCACAGAAAAAATCCATGACCCGTGTAAGAAGTGCAGCCACATGAAACGCCGGCGTCGCTCAGTCATTAGTGACAGGCTCCTGAAGTGGGAGCACTTCTACTGTTTGTTTCGTTAAATCCTACTGCACTGTCTCACGTCGGGCAAGTAGGAGCAAGGACGGATGTTTAAAACAAAGGTGTCACACAACACGAAGAGCAAATTGCTTTTAAATATACACCCTGATCAACTTCAGCGTCCAGCAGCTTCTCACGCGTGCGTGCCTCAAGGGCTGTACTTACTACCAGCTAAATCCAGCAGTAGACAGCAAGACTGACTCGTAAGACTGACGTAATGAGCTGGGACAGCCCGCGTGAGAACCACCTAGAACAGATTAGTCTTCCAGACGTGATTAACCCCGTTTGTCCAGCGACTGCCTGCCCTGAATCTATTCCATGGTTGAGCTCTCCGAGCGGACCCGCAGGCAGTACATGTGGCAGCTAGCTCCGGGCTGAAAGGACAGGATCCTCCGCTGTCAGCTCACGCTGGGAACCTCCCTGTGGAATCCGGCTCTCTGACTGTACCCGGAGAGCGACGCGCTCTGCCCCTGCTCAGCAGCTCTCTGCTCGCAGCGCTCCTCTGCGAGAGGAGGAACAGAGGTTTGAGCCTGGGGTGAGGAAAAGGGGACGGTCCTCCCACAGCTTCAGGCAGCGCCTGCTTGTCAGGCTGGGGAGTAACACTGACTGGAACCTGCCCCACTTCCTGTGACTAACCCCGTGTTCACAGAGCGAGATTTAGCTTGGCGCTAGGTGAGCTCAGAGGGTCAAAGTCTGACCGCTTCAGCGGGTTTCTTTGTTCTGTTCTTCCTGAAAGTAGAAAAATTTTACGGCA